CCATGGCTTGGGGGTTGGGCATGCATCGCCCATCCCCCTGTCACCCCACAGCACCACCAGTGCCACCAGGAGCCACGGCCCTCCAGCCACCCCTGCTTTCCCTTAATGGGCTGAGGCTGAGGCCTCTAACCCCCCTCCCCGCCCCCAGGAGCCAACAGCTGCCCAGCTCCGGCGCCGGCCCGGCCTGGGAGGCTGCAGCGCTGACCTTTGCATCAGAGTATCCGCTGGTGGCATCTCCTTGGGCCTGAGATTAAACGGACGAAGCTGGGCCTCTGCTGGCCTTTCTTTTCTTTTTTTTTTTTTTGGCTTTTCCCTCCAGTTTGTTTCTTTTTCAAGCTGTCAGGAGCGACTGTTCATTCGCAGTTTGTCCCTGTGGACGGCGCCCACCCCTCCTGGGTTTGCCGGGTGGGGGTCTTGGTCCTGTCCCCAGCGTCATCACCACCAAGTCGCCTACCCCGGGAGTGAACATGACTCCAGAGTGTGACAGCCGGGCCTGTCACATGCATCAGGGCGATTCTCTGTGCTGGGGTGCTAGTGGTTAGGGAGGGCATTAATGGGGCCTGGGTCTTAGGGTAAGTGTGAGACTAAGGCCGTGAGGGTGTGCCCGGGACAGGACACACTCTGCTCCCTGAGTAGCGGTGATTGCTATTGAAAACCACTCGAGCCCCGGCCGGCCAGCACGGCCCAGTGGGTAGGGTGTTGGCCTGCGCACCAAAGGGCCTTGGATTCGATTCCCAGTCATAGGCCTGGGTTGCAGGTTCAATTCCTGGCCCCTCATTGATGTCTCTCACATCAGTGTTTCCCTTTCTCTCTCCCTTTCCTTCCCTCCTCTCTCTAAAAATCAATGGGAAAAATATCCTTGGGTGAGGATTAACAAAACAAAAAACAAAACACACACACACACTGGATCCCGGCTGAGTGGCCATTTCCCTTCCTCTTGGCGATGACCCAGAGCAGCAGCAGCCGCTCTGAGGGGCCCTGGGTGGTGGAGGTGGGTGGTGGAGGTGGAGGTGGCCCTTCCTCCAATCGGTGCCTCTGACTAGGGAAGTCCTCTCTCCCAGAACAAGGGAATGAAACAGGGCCCCACCTCCTGTTGTGGGGGTGCCTGGGCCACCGCGATGGGCTCCCAGCCCTGAGGCCCATGTTCAGCTCCACCAGCTGCTGGGGGGCGGGCGTGGGGGCGTCCAGCCCCCGGGCCAAGCCCTGCCTGACTTGGGAGCTGAGAGGCATGGAGCAGCGTTCAGGGTACATTTGTCCCCAAAGCAAAGAACACCGGGGGTACCTGCTCAGAGCTCCTGCCAACAACTTGCGTTACCCCCACGGGCCTCCAAGCACCGGGCGATTCGGCCCGATCTGATGACCAGCATCTGCTTGTGCCGCAACAGGCGGGCAAGGAGGGGCCTGGAGAGCAGTGTGATCTGCTGTTTGTTTGTATTGAATGAGGCTGAAAAGTAAAAATGAAAGCAAAACCCAGCCACCGTCCTCCACTTGTAAAATATATGCCCACGCCCGGCTGGTGCGGGTCAGTGGTGGAACGTCGATCCATGAATCAGGAGGTCACCATTCGGTGCCTGTGCAGGAAGCAGCCGATCAACGATCCCCTCTCATCATTTGACTTTTTTTTTTCTTTCTTTTTTTTTTTTAATATATTTTATTGATATTTTACAGAGAGGAAAGGAGAGAGAGAGAGAGAGTTAGAAACATCGATCAGCCGCCTCCTGCACATCTCCTACTGGGGATGTGCCCGCACCCCAGGTACATGCCCTTGACCGGAATCGAACCTGGGACCTTTCAGTCCGCAAGCCAATGCTCTATCCACTGAGCCAAACCGGTTTTGGCTAAAAATATACTTTTATTGATTTCAGAGAAAGAGAGGGAGAGAGTGATAGAAACATCAATGATGAGAGAGAAAGAATTATTGATTGGCTGCCTCCTGCGCACCCCACACTAGGGATGGAGCCTGCAACCTGGGCCTGTGCCCTGACCGGGAATTGACCCCTGACCTCCTGGTTCATGGGTCGATGCTCAACCACTGAGCCACGCCGGCCGGGCTCATCATTGAAGTTTCTCACTCTCCCTCTCCCTGCCTCTCTGAAATCAATTAAAAATAATAAAATAAAGTAAAATATATACCAAGTAAGAAGTGGAGGCCGCCCTCTGCCCTTCAGGTTCACCCTCTGGCCTTCGGTTCCCTCTGAGGGCGGGTCAGCCCAGGCCCAGCTCGGCTCCAGCTCGCTCCCACGACCCCCTGGAAAACGTGCTCTCAGCACCAGAGAGGGGGGCCCCACCTCCCAAACGCTGCCGACCTTGCAGGGCGCCCAGAGCAGACGTAAAGGGGGGTGAGACGTGCTGACCTGGAGCCCACCAGGGAGTGTGGTGACCCCGCAGAGAGGAAGGTGCCAGGCTCGTGCCTGGCCGGTCCTGGCCTCACCCACCTCCTCTCCTGGCAGAAGTCCCGGGCTTCCTGCGCGATGAGGAGTGTCGGCTCATCATCCACCTGGCACAGATGAAGGGGCTACAGCGCAGCCAGATCCTGCCCACCGAGGAGTACGAGGAGGCCCTGGGCACGATGCAGGTCAGCCAGCTGGACCTCTTCCGGCTGCTGGACCAGAACCGTGACGGCCGCCTGCAGCTCCGTGAGGTTGGGCCCAGAGCAGCGCGGGGCGGGGTGGGGGTGCTGCAGAATGGTTTCTGTGGCCAGGGTACCTGTCCTGCTCAGCCCTAACCCTGCAGATCAGCGTGCCCAGGCCCAGGGGTCCCTCCTTCCCTGGAGAGGTAGGTCCTTGCTGCCCAGGAAGCAGGGGGACTCACCGGGCGGTGATGGCACGTGTGGCCACAGTCCCCAGGTGTCCTGCCCCTGTGACAGGTCTGGATTCCTGGCTGCCATGCCGGGAGCCCATGGAGCTCGTGGTGCGTGGAGTGGCAGCTTCGAGGTGGCCAGGGTCCGCCTCTCTGCACGGCCCTCACCCAGCTTCTGAGGGAGGACCTGGCGAGGTGTGGGGTCCCTGGCCCAACAGGATGCCGTGGCCTCAGGGCTCTTGACTGCCTTCCTGGCCTCCCAGATGCCACTGGACCTCTCCACCTCTCGTCATCAGCAAAGGGACTTGAGGCTTGTCCTCTGTCCTCACCCCTGTCCTCCCCGAGCCCTCAGCCCCACAGCGACACTGGAGGCTCCATCGCGGGGCCACCTCATGGGGGACCATGTGCTTCAGGTCCTGGCCCAGACTCGCCTGGGGAATGGACGCTGGATGACGCCAGAGGACATTCAGGAGATGTACTCTGCGATCAAGGCTGACCCTGACGGCGACGGTGAGCTCGGACCTCCCGCAGCTCTGTCCCTGGGAGCCTCTAGAGCAGCCAGAGGCCCCGTCCCCGTGCTGACCGTCGAGAGGGCAGGTCTTGGAGACCCTTTCCACCTCGTCAGTCAGAGTCTGGGGCACAGGAGGTGGGGCTGCTGGCTGGCAGAGGGCAGAGGGGGGGCAGCGAAAGCGAAGGCACAGTGATGCCAGCTTGAGCTTGGCTGTGCCCCCGCTCCGTCTGCCTCTCCGGCCAGCAGGGTCTGCCCAAGGCCTCCCTCTTGCCCCCTGGCACCCTTCTAACTGCGAGGGCAGGTGTGGGCAGGGAGCTGTCATACCCCCCCACCCCCCACACACACACTTCGGCAATGACCCTCAGGAGGTTCTGAAGTGTCGTCCACTCTCACGCCAAGCGAGGAAGATGCAGCCGTCGAGTAGGACTTGGAAGAGTGGCTTGTGGCTGGGGAGCCCGGAGCGAGGAGCCCGCCCGCGGCCTGAGCGGCCTCGTGCTGCTGCTGCTGTGTGCGGAGCTGGCGCCAGGCTCCCAGCCCCAGCGGCCCCCATCCTGGGAGAAATTCCGGCCAAAGGGTGCAAAATGTCTCCTTTGGGTCAAGCAGGATAATCTGGACAGTAGCTACCGGTCCAGAACCCCCGAGGGTGGAAGCCCTGCTTGGGAGGTGAGGGCGGCGGAGTGTCCTCACTGGGGAGTGCGCTCTGGCCAGTGGACAGGACTGACCCGGCATATCCCACTCAGGATGGGAACTGAGGTCATGAAGAAACTTCTGGGCCCAGCCCTGCTACCCCCGAAAGTGTGGGAGGCCCTGGCCAGCAGCCAGCACCCCTGCTCTCTCCTCGCCCTGAGGATCGAGGCGGCCACACTCCGCAGAGCCAGGCGGGAGGGCCAAGGGCAGGCGTGCCCCGAGACCCTGCTCTGGCCAATCTCATGGGGGGAGGGGAGCTCCTTTCTTTTGGGGCCCAATCAGGGCTTCACCGGAGGAAAGGAAGGTGTCGGTCTCCCTGTGACAGAAGCTAGGCTCACCTGACCCAGGAGCCCAGGGCGGGACCAGTGCTCAGGCCTCCCACAGGGGCTCAGTGGGCTCTGCTGGGGGTGCCCGTGCAGGAGTGCTGAGCCTGCAGGAGTTCTCCGACATGGACCTGCGGGACTTCCACAAGTACATGAGGAGGCACAAGGCGGAGTCCAGCGAGCTGGTGCGCAACAGCCACCACACGTGGCTGTACCAGGGGGAAGGCGCCCACCAGGTCATGCGGGCCATCCGCCAGAGGTGAGCGCCCAGCGGTCCTCCCGGTGCCAGGCCCACACGGTCCTTAGCTGGGAGGAGAGGACAGAACTGAGAAGCCGACTCAGGATTGAGTTCCGCTTCTTAGACCCGGATGGGGACCTGTCGAAAGACCGGCAATTAGCAAAGGCGAACTAGCCCTGACTGTGGGCACACTACATCTGGGATTAGAAATAGATTGCATGGTGTT